GTAGTTGCCAGAGGCAGAGGGGTGTGCAAATGGAAGGATAGTTATAAAACAAATAATTCTGTACAATATACAGCCTGATGACTACAGTTAACAATATTATGTACGTGAAAGTTGCTAAGAGAGTCTATCTTAAATGTTCTCAACACACACACACACACGTGCACACACAAAAGGTAACTATGTGAGTGATAGATGTGTTAACTAACCTTATTGTAAACTATATAATGAAAATAAATGTTTAATTTTTGAATGCAATCGTAACCATAATATAAAAATTATTATCTTATTATCAAACAATGATTTTTGGTAACATAACAAAAAATCTTACACCATATTATAAACATATTCTTCTAACCTTACCCTGAATAGCAAATATTCTACCTAAATACATTATTTCAGATATGGTTTACAAGTGTTATTTTCAGCACTGATTTCTCTTAACTTTCAGGTTTTCAAGCCACTGCCATTGATTTTTAAAAGTACTTGTTAAACTAAAATACACTGAAATAAAATAAAAATTAAACAGATTTAATTCACTTAATCAAAAATTACTAGTATACATGCAAATATAAAGAATAGGTGCTTAACTCAAGGGTGATCTAAAAATCAAAGCAATTTTCCTCCTGCTTTGGAGGCCCGATTACGCTTCCCATTCAGTCCCGCGGAAACACGGACAGATGCTGCTTCTCACCCACGTGTATTAAAACACCGAAGATAAAATTATAACCCTTAATTTAGATTTTGACCATTTGCACTTTCGTTTTTATTTCAGCAAAATTGTTTCTAAAGGCTGGTATTTAACCATCATTCAAGATTTATAAAACTGAATCTTTTAGAAATTATGTTGGAAGAGTAATAAGGCATCTAAATTGGACTATAAAATATTAACTGATCTTCCCAGAGAAGGCTCTCAGAAAGCAATAACTCTGGTGTTTAATGATAAGAGACTAAAGCTTTAAAAATTGTTACTCTTGCAGAGCAGAAAACATTAAAATATTTTCAGTTTTACTGAAGCTTTCATTCACATTTATATCCAGCACTTAGCTACATTATTATATGCACAGTTATGTCGAAGAGACAATTTGCATTATCTATATGACTTTTGGTTTATGCTATCAAGCCAGCGATATCATCAACCAAATGATACCACTGGAATGGAGGTACGCCTGCCACAGTGAGGACTATAACTCATTTCAACCTGACAGATAATGATCAATGTTACACACAAAAAAAAAAAAAACTGAGAAAAATACTAAAGAAATTGTGTTCCATCTAATCAGCATTTTGAATGAGATGATTCATATTTAAATAGTTTTTCAACAATCCATCATGAAATTCTAAATTCCAGACTGTTTTAAAATATCTGTCTTTTCCAGATGATCATGAGATTGGGACTTTCACTTTGATCCAACAGAAGGGCATGGGTCATTTTGATTAGAATTGGGAGAAGAACAGGCAGACACAAAGGTCTGAGAAACCTTTGGGTGTTGGGTGTCTCATACAATGAGTGAGGCAATGCAGAGGGTGCTTTGAAATTATATGTCTTTTAGAATTGCTTGGAATAAAGAGTTTTCTTCCAAACTACTTCTCAATTATAATATAGTCACTTCATAGCACACAAATTCTATGTTATTTTTTAAATACAATGACCTTAGACTAATTTTTCAAAATGTCTTCATCCTGAAACACTTTGTACAATTTTTTAAATTGGTCTCTAGATTTAGAGGAAAATGAGTCTACTCTGTTCAGCATCTGCATTAGGGGGTAAGAAAGCCACTGTCTGTCTTTCAGCCATTCCTCCCCTCCGTCCTCGCTGCCATGGAGGACCCTAAAACATTTGTAGACCCACACAGAAATTACATTACAGTGTGCCAGCTTTATTCCCTGAGTTTTTGACCTCAGTGTTTCAGAATATGCATGTAAATATATTTTCTACATGTATACACTTTCATTGACCCTCAATCCACATCTTCAGGAAACTTCTCTAAGTCTTCTGTGAGCACCATTAGAAACGCTAACCTAGCGTATGTATGCACGCTCCACTCCACATCATTCCACATGAACGATAGTGTGGAGACCATAATGTCACCCAATGGGAGGATTTTATATTCCTAATAAATCTTAATGTTAAGCCTTATTGAACCACTAAATGAGCATTTAGTCAAACAAAATGAATTTGAGGATCAAGGGCTCATAACATTGCTCTCCTTGTCTTTCACAGTAAAAAATGAATAAACTGGGTCAAAGGCTTTTTCTTTGAGATAAAATAATCATAAAATTTATGTTCCTTAGCTGTGAACCAATTTACATGCTATGATACAATTACCTTGGCTCAATGGCCTGGCCCAGTAAACTGACTGTTGAGGTCAGAGTAGAGGATACTGAGATCAGATGAATTTACAAACCGGGAGGATCATTTCACAGTGTTTCCAAATCTACAATATTCTAAACATATTTAAATTTGAATTATCTACAAAACTCAGATGCTGGGGTGATTCAAATATCCTGATTAAATCATAAGCAAGTAACAATTTTTTAAATTCTCAGCCAAGTAGGACTAATGTTTTTTCCCAAGTTTCCTAGTACCTCTTAGAGAATGAATGGAGATAAACTCATTTCTTCTTCTGATTTTTTTCTTTTTATAAGATTGGCTTTTTTCCCAAAATACTAAGATAAAAATTTTCTACTAAATAATCTTTTTCATGGCATAAATTAAAGAAAATGCAAATTTCAGCCAATCCCAATCTCAAAAGAACATGCAAATTGCAACTGATATTTACACTGAATGTACTTTATTTCATTATTTCACTGGATTATGACTTGGAACAATATTTATTTCTGTATGCTTTGATTTCAATCCTAGAAAAAATTATGCGGGTGCACTTAGTTGTCCCTGCTGAACAGGGTAAAGGGAGGAGCCCTTCACTGAGACCTCTGCTGAGGCCATGGCCGCACATGCCCAGTGTGAGAGAAAAAGAGATGAGCTTCTTTAAGTCATACATATAAAAGTGTCCAATAAACCATCTGTATGCAGGGTTGTTACTCTCCCACAAAAGAAAGTACAAAAGCAAGATGTAATCCTTATTTTAGACCACACAGTGAACTCCAGATTATCAGGTACAAAGATTAGACCATTAAAATGTGAACAGAAAACAGTAGAATATCACTTAAAATACCACTTTATTTAAGCTTTGGTCATTGCATTTTCACAATAAAAAAAAAAAATCACATCTTAAGACCTTTTCTAAGGCTGGGCTACCCAATGAGAACTTCTCTACATACTTCTACACCACCGTAAGTTTTCTAGACTGTTTATTCCTTCACTAAGTATATAAAGGGAGATAATATTTTCAAATAAGTGCATTTTTTCTTTTGCACTTGCTTATGAATGGTCACCAACCTGTGTTAGGAGCAGTCTTTGCCTTAAGGATCATGGAACGTGCAAAGAAAGAAGAAATCAGTGTGTAGCTTTTTTATTTGTAAAACTAGTTTTGAAAACAGTTCAGACACCATGGTCTTTAAAACCTGGCTTTAATTTTCTAGCACCAGACACCCATGAAAGAAAAGCATTTTCAAAATTAGAATAGTTCTGTTTAAATACAAAAAATGAAATTTGAAAAACTGAACTTGGAGTTTTACTATGTCATAGAGTAGGGTATATGATGCATAAGAACTGTTTTTTACCACAAAGTAAAAAATGTCAATTTTTTACTTCCATGAATCTCAGAGAAAGGGGACAAGAAGGCTAGAGAAGATGTAAGCTCAGAGACTGCTTCTCCTGCATGACTCACTGTGTAACTTCATACAGGTACACAGCCTTGCAGGCCGCCTAATATAGACTCACTTATTTTGAATTCATAACTTGGCTTAGCTTAACCTGAAACCTGCTCAGATCACCCTGATTGTTAGAAAGTATGCTAACCACATCCTAGGATTGGTGAAGAGTTTGACAGAAGGGCTGAGACTTAATTAGGTAAAATTTCTGATACACCTGTGCCCTCCCTAGCTTAGGCAATTGCCAGACCTGTCTCTTAAGGGAAACCTGGGGATGATTTGCAGAACCACAGGGCTAATCCCACTCCAAACGCCCATGGCTGGCCTCAGTGGCCTGGAGGGCCCTCTACTGACCTTCTCATAAATTTTTCTCATTATATCCTTATTGTAATACTAAAATCTTCTCCCAGGAGTGGAGATTTCCTGCTGTTTTTGAACATGAATATATGTACAGGAATATTTGGTAATTGCTGAGGCACAGGAATGTGCCCACTTATACATGTGATGTCAAGTTCACCATAATGTTTATACATGATTTTCCTGAAGAAAGACAAATCTCAGTTCAAGAATGCACTGCCCTGGGAGCGGTCCCCTGTGTGTTCCTTGTGAGCTGACTAGCAATAAAGTTTCTTCTCATAAAATCATCTTGAAGTTGGCTTTGGGCTGGCAATTGCTGAGTGATGGGGTGTGGTTCGGTCAGGTAACAATCATCACGCAGAAGACAACTATTAAACGTTCTCTGGTTATTAAGTATTCCTGGTTAAAATATCTAATTTTGTGTTTAGCCTACAATTATAAAGCATAAATCATCAACTAATTCAATCGACAACTAATCATGGAGACCTATTATACACTAGTTAGTCACTTGGAAATAATGCAATACAGTGGGATATCACAGTCCCTGTGATTATTCAGGGAATACAAAGTCTTCTGAGGGTGGGGGGTGGGAGGGGTGAGAAACAAACATTAAAAACTAATTAAATTACTGTGTTTATAATATGTGACTGTATCTCTATCTATACTTTTACCACTTAGAAGTGATAATCTAACCTGCCTTTTTCTTCATGGAAATACAGATTATTAATGAGGTATGATTTATTTGCATGAGGCAGAGAAAGCCTCTTACATTAATGAATGAGAAGCAACCTGATAAAATTTGTATATTGAAAGTTCAAAAATTACTTGCCAGCTGCCATATGCATTAAAACAAATATGTAGTCACTGACTTTGTATGATCCACGGATGACCTATGGCTTTCTTCCCCATGATGAATACTGATTCCATTGCAAGGTGCTCACCTGAGTGTGTTCGAATCTGGAATTAAATCTTCAGGGATTGGCCGGCACCATTTACACAGGCTTCCTTTTCCAAAGTTGCAAACTTCCATTGCATGAATTGGATGCGACAAAGAAGAGATCAGCTAACCAAACTGAATGCATCAATAAATGGTGATTTCTAGCTGCATCACCACCTTCTTACTTTTGGGATTTTTAAAAAGAGTCTCAGTTTTAGCATAATTAAAATAATGAGGCAAACAATTTGTATAATTACTAGAAGTGTTTTAGAGAAATCTAAGTTACATTCAAACAGCTATAGTAACTGAAATACGGGAATAAAAAATCTGCCTTCATAGGAGGTGAGACTTTTAATGAGCTCCTAAGGCAGCAGCTGAAGCTCTGCCAGCACATTCTGCTGTAACACTTACATCACTTGTATGACCTTTAAGTTCTGATAAGTCCATTCTTTTTTCACAATATTAACAAAGCAAAACTTTAACTGTCTCTGAAAGAGTTTTTCCAAATTCCAAACTACTTACATTCAAAACAATAAGGTTTACAATAACTTTTATATTGAACCTCTTCATTGGAAAATTTTCAACATTCTTGTAATGACTATATTATCACACAAAATTACAATTTCGTTTTTTTAATACAAAGGTTGTGTGGGAAAATGCTCTGTCTCCCTCTAAATGTTTTCATGTGTCTATTGTCAGTCCTAAATCCTCCACTGCTTGAATAAAAGATTCAATTCAATGAGTTCTTGTACATACTGTAGAAAGCATGGTATGCACCAGCTTTTAAATGGCATAAGCAGTGATGATATACCACTATACCATTTAGAAGCTTGGATTCAAGATTTAATGTAAAACCTGAAATGAGAACATCCCTTCAAAAAAGGTATTTTTAATAATGGCATTCAATGTGTTAATCTTTGATATTAATATCGACCATATAATATTTATCTTGTACAGAGATTTAGGACTCAATTAAATCCTATTCTTCATATCATTGAAAGGATAAAATTATAAATTAAAAAAAACTATTTGAGGGCAGAAAGTTTCAGTCAAGCAAGAAGAATAAAGATCTGCTGTACAGCATTGTAACTCTAACCATCAATAATGTGTTTTACACTTAAAAACATGCTGATGGTAGACCTTGTTATATTCTCCACAATAAAAAATATTAAAAAAAAAACAGTAAGACTGTATGTGACAGACATATGTATTATATTTCATCTTACAAAAAGATTGAAGAGGCAAGGTCAGAAATAAAATGGTAATAATTAAATTAATTTATTCAAAGTAAGTAAATATCTGTGATTTAAAAATAGTAATTTAATAGTAGACATTTATTCATGATATTTAAAAAACTTATCAAAACTTTACTTCCAATTTAAATGACATTACTAAAATTGCAAAATTGAACTAAGAGGAAAGTCAATATGCACTAAAGATGTTCACTAGGCATAATTAATTAGATTTTGTATAAATTTTACAAACACCACAAGTTATGTGTGATCATAAGAGGATTTCAGTGTCTTCCTGTGGGAAAGTCTAAATACCACAACCACTTTCATTATCTTATCTTCCATCTATGTTGCACAGCATGTATCTCTGGCCACATGAGTTAATTACTGTCCCATCTCATCCACAGTGTAATTTGGCTTTCATTTTATGGGTTATTTTAGTTTGGATTAATAAATTAAATATTTCATTAAGAAGCAATCTTTCTGGGTTAAAAGAATTAATATGAATCTTTTTTTTATTTTTTACATTCTAGCATTTCTTGACAAGGCTGACATAAGGCAACAAGGTAGGGTTTAACTAGACTCTATATCATCTATATGTTCTGAACCTTTACTATTATTAGGACCCTTGAGATATATATGGTCATATAGTAAATTCACATGCTACTAAGTAAAGAGCAGGGAAAGGAAAATATCACAATGTTTACACCTCTTGATCCTATGCTTTGCCCACTGAGACATAGATTAATATTGCCCCTCCTAGACTGTGTCTTTCGCTGAGAAGTTCACTTTCAAATGAATAATTTTGCTTTGATCTATTCTTAGAAATCAGTGGATTGTCAGATGTCAGTAATGAAAATAATCTCTCAATAGGACACAAATATTGAAGAGCCAATCTGAATTTGAATAGGTTTCTTATGGACTCTGAATGTTTGCCATAGCAGCCATTTTATATGTGCATTTTGGCAGAGGAAAATTTGAACAAATTTATGTAACTTGATGGTTTCATCATGCTTCCTCCCTAAACATTCCTATTTTATATGTGAATAGAAGAGAGACCCACAGGTGAATGAATAGAAAAGAACTTGTACATAATAGCCTTACAGTCAAGTGAAACCCATGAAAACCAGTGTTTTGAATCCAAAACATAAATTTAAAAAAAATTTACCTCTTATTGGGCATGATGGAAGAATGTATGCTGATTTTTCTGTTCTAATTTTCTATAAAAATAGCTTTTATATCAAGAAATTGCTCTAAGCCAGGTTGAAAATTTCTAACTAGGGCACTAGACTATGCTGCTTAGACATTTGGTTATCTGTTTTATGGCTATTTTTAATTACAAATTCAGGAATTTACCTACCTCAGAGTGATTTATCTGGTTTGTCAGGGCAGCCGTTCCTAAAATCGCATTTCCAGATGTGTTCAGCGCAGTGGTCATCGGACCCTCAGGCAAATTCACCGTCTGTGCAGGTATGTGCAGGTCATGTTACTGGGATTGAAGTTTCTGGCAGACTTGGAAGGTCCACTGGTAAATTACCTTGATAAGAAAGAATATTCAGGTGTCATTGATCAGAATCTTTATTTCTTTACAGACTTTACTTAATAAGCTTCACATTCAACATAATAAAGAATATTTGGCAGTATTTGCTAATCTACTGAACTTCCTTTTGTAAGCATGTAAGTCAGGTTCTCGGTCTTAGCGATGGCAAATAGTTTAGGAAATCTTTGATTATAAAACAGGTGGAGATGAAGACAAAAAATATTGAAACTCTATTCAGAGCTCACTGAATAAATAGAACCCCTAAGAAACAGGGCTTAGCATATCACCAGGAACCAAGGGAGTTCCAGATGCTGGCATAGAAACTGGCATCGAGGTCTGATTAAACCTCCTTGTGAACCAGGCAAATGAACTCTGTTCTTCCACTGCTGCAATGAGCCCAACATCTTGTCTTTGTGTGGCACATCCTCCCTCACACAGTCAAGACTGAAGGTTGCAAGAGAAACCCACAATAGAAGTATTTATTTATCCAGAAGCATTTAAACAATTGAATAAATCATTTCTGAAATTAAAGGATTTAGAAAAAATTTATAGAAGCTAATTCATACAGTAAATTATTTAATAAACATTTACTAGTCACAGTTCTGTAGCACACACATAGTAGGTGAAATAGATGTAAAGCCAAATATGCAATCACTGCAATTAAATGGTTTACAGACTACTAGAGAAGGCAATCAGAAAACAATTTCATTACAGTTCTATAGCATAAGTTTATGACAGATTATTATGCATTTTGCTCATTTGTATATATAACAATCTTTTAAGCATGTATTTATTACTTATTATTATAGCACTTATCATTGTGTGACTAAATGAGTTAATATTGTGAAATACTTAGAATAGTGACTATAGACAGTGAGCACCATGTAAGTCCTTTTAAATAAACTGTTGCTTATATTTGAACTTGAGACAGCTGGACTCATTCGGTATATAATCTTCTGCGAACTGATCTTTTACTCAAGATTGTATGTTAAGCCATCCATGGCCATGTGCATTCTTGCAGTTCAGTTATTTTGACTGTTCTATAATATTTCACCACATGAATATATTACATATATATTACATGCTCAGCTGTTAATGATTTTTGAGTTGATTCAGTTTGAGGTTCAGTTTATTTGTTTTATACATTTCTCCTTCTGCATCTAGGAATGGAACTGCATGGTCAGAGAGTGTACACAATTCAGCTTTACTAGATAAGGCCAAACTGTTTTCCAAAGTAATTGCATCAATTTCTATTCTCCTCATCAGTGTATATTCTGGTTACATTACACACTCACCATCCAATGGTCTATCTGGGTTTACCCATGTGTTTGCCGTTTTCTTTACTCTCCATTCCCTTTCACATACGTGTCCTCATTTAGTTCATTCTGTTTGTCTGCGGCTCACATGGGTATATAGTTCATTTGGGAGAATCAAAGAGCCTGGTGCAGTAAAGTCATTTTTTGCTTAGTTTTGGATGTTGTTCTCTGAAAGCCTTTTTTTCATTCTCATTCTTGAGTTTTGTTTTGCTCTAGACTATGTTATAATTTCTCAGAACTTTGGATATAACATTCATATCTCTTCATAACACTTCATACCCTCCATTCTTGCTGTGGTGGTCCTTTTAATATTATATTTTAATTTCTGACTGTTTTCAACATAATCTTCTCTTTTCTTTGTTGATTTTTCTAACTCATTTCTATGATTCTAGACCTGGATTTATTCTGGTTATAATATTTGCATAAGGTTCACTCACTAGGCTTATTTTTTAATTTATGCTTTTATCCATGTATGATTGGTATACAATCTCATGTTGATTATATTAGTGTCATGTGTACCATACAGTCACTTTCACATTTTTATACCTTACAGTGTGGTCACCCCTCTAAGCTTCTTAAATCCATGTGTTTTTATCGTTAATAAAAATCCATTAATTTTTTATTGTTATTTGAGTACAATTGTCTCCATTTTCTCCCCACCACTCCTCTCAACCCCAGTGATCCCCACTTCCCACCATCAATCCTAATCAACAACACAAACAAGCAAGCAAAATGTAACTAGAGACAGTGAAATTAAGAACAAACTGATAGTAGGATCAAGGGTGGCATGTGTTAAATTAATTCTTAGTGGTTATACTTTTAAAATTGCTTTTTGTCTATTTTCTTTTTCTCTCTAGAACTCTGTTAGCTTTTGTGGTTGTTCTTTCAAATAAAGCTGTCTCTCTTATTTTCCTTCTCTATGCTGCCCTTTGAAAGTTCCTCATAGCTACTTTCCATTTGACTGATTATAATGTTGATATTGTCTTTGATGTATTTAATTTATCCACTGAGTTTTTTATTTCATTGATTTTATTTCTCATACCAAAAAGACTAATTTGTTCTTTCAAAATTTTGTGTTTTTTTTTTAACAATGTCATGTTATTTTCTTAAGACTAGGAATCCCCTAACATTTCAAATTACTTGTTCATTACTTTTCTATTTTTGTGTAACAAATTTCTATAGACCCGGAAGTTTAAACTAACAAACACTTATTATCTCACACAATTTCTGTGAGTCTGAAATGCAGAAGAGGTTTAACTTGGGGCATCTGACTGTGAGTCTCAGAAGGTTGTCATTGCAATGTCAGACAAGGCTGCAGTCCTCAAGGGCTTGACTGGCCCTGGGAGCTCTGCATCCAAGGGGACTTGCTCACCTGTGGTGGGAATTAGAGCTACTGCTGGCAGGTTTCAATTCCCGGACTTTTTTTACAGGGCTGTTTGAGCATCCTCTGGACTTGGTGTCTGGCTTCCCTCAGAGTGAATGATCCCAGAGAAGCCAGTAGGAGCCTAGCTTTGAAGTCACACACAGTCATTGCCACATGACTTCCTAGGTCAATCTTACTCAGCCTGAAAGGGTAGTGGTACATAGGGCATGCATACCAAGATTAGGGGGTTCTTTTGGAAGCTGGCTACCACAGTTTTACATGCTTGATTTTTCTGTGAGGATCCTTTACCACCTAGTTAGTAGAAGAATCCTTCCAGATAAACCTTGAGTTGTTTATTTTGGGACGCTACTGGCACCCCATCCCCAGAGTGTCATATCCCTTCTGCCCCCCTTTCCCACTTCCTGCCTCTGATCTATCCGTACTTTGTTGTCACCTAACTCTGGGGGTCACGTTATGACTTCTGTTCTATTTTTAAATACTCTCTTTGTTTCTCTCACCTGGGGATTTTTCTTTTCAAAGCTCAGATTAACATTTAAATAAATGAATGTTATATTTGACATTTCTTAGTATGTGTAGTATTGTAGTTTTTAGACATCTGGTCTTCCATCTTATTAAAACCAAGCATCTTACTGCATCGTTGGGCCTGATTTCAATTTAAAGTAGCAAACAGTTAGGAAGAAATCATGGACATGAGTGATGTCAGAGGCTGATGAGACAGTATTCAGGAAAAGTAGATACAACTCATTTTCCACCCTAGAAACAACCCAGAGTGATAGATCAAAAGACCACTACTCTTAAAAATAAACTAACATTCTGCAACCATTTGTACATTCTAGCAGAATGTGCAAACCTTCAAAACAAAGTAAGCCATACATGTTTGTATTTGAGAGTACCAAAAAGAGAAAATTGAGAAAAGTGTTTCTTCCTCTGAAGCCAAACTCTGAAATGGTGGTGTTTGTAAGTAGGAAGATGGACTTGTCCCTGATTCCTTAGCATCTGCTGTGGAGAAGTAAAACAGAATCCAGAAAAATGATTTAGCCAAGACATCGTTTGAGACTAAGGCATGACAAGTACCACAAAGTTCCTGACGTTAGCCAATACTACATACTGGATAAGACAAACAAGAAACACCTTTCTCACAGTTCTAGAAGCTGGAAATCCAAGATCAGGTGGCCAGCACAGTTGGGTTTTCAGTGAAGGCTCTAGTCCTAGTATGTCCTCATATGGCCTTCTTTGGTACATGTACACAGAGATATATCTCTTGTCTCTTCCACTTGTTATCAGGACACTAATTTCATCATGAGGATGACACCTTTATGACCTAACTGAGCCCTAATTACCTCCCAGGGGCCTCACCTCCCAGTGTCACCATATTAGAGGTTAGGGCTTCAATATATGAATATCGGGGGGACACAAATATTCAGTTCATAACAGATTGATGATGATGATGATGATGATGATGATGATGATGATGATTTTGCCTAAAATTGCATGGAAAGGCTAAAGTTGGTAGCAAGGATAGAGTCAAATCTCTAAACAGTCAAAAAATACACTAAAACTTTGCAGATGAAACAAAATTGCAAGGGCGAAATGCAAATTACTGAAGCCTGCACTCACTAAGAAGCAGAGATTAATCTGGTTGATGTGATCTTCTTCCACATCCCCAAGCCACAGGCAAACAAACACACCTGCATACCTGTCATCTTAAATACATGACTCAGGCTCGAGGTAGATCCAATGTTCTAAATCCTTGCTCTGTGTCTTCCTAACAAGAAAGATGATGTCCTTCATGCTCCACTAATACAATCTTTCTTATAGAACATATTTCCAATTTTTATCTTAGACTTTCCCCTTTAAAGTTATTCCCACGATATTAGGTGATCAATAAAACTAATATTTTAAAATCTGTGGTGGTGGGGGTGCTTTGCTTGCAGAGCCTCTCATCCACCTCGGATGAGAATAAGTCGACCAAGACATGATCTGCTTGGGGAGGAAAGGTAGCCAGTCTCTCAAAGGTGAAGGACCAGGAGCTTATTCCTCAATGGGCTTTTACTGGGTTCAATTTGCATAGGAATACAGGTAAAGCTCCTCAACCATTGTCAGGCAGTAATGATCAAACAATAAATAACATTCAAAGAATTATAAGGGCTTATTTTGAGTAAGGGTCAGATAGCTAAAGGGCCATAAAACTTTCAGGAAGCACTCATTCTATGCTTGGACCCTTATCATTTAAATTGAGAGTATTCTTAGCAAAGCAGTTTTTGCAGGATTTTAGGCATTCTTTCTTAGGCCCAATC